CCTTCCATCCCTCCGGGGTCGGTTAATTGGTACCAGACTTGTCTGGGAGGATAAAAACACTGACTTGAACATCGGCTGGCCCCCGCAAGTCATTGTATAGGCCACATCGCATTCAAATCTTTATTTTAGCTGTATTTTTCTTTATCTTTAACCTTTACAGTAGTCGCAGCCGCGATTTGCCTCGTCGGGTGTGGGTGATGCCGACTGACAGCACCGAAACACCCCCTCTTCCTTTTGATGCTCCCCATTAGTCTAAAGTAGTCTGAAATAGCCCCAAACCTCCTAATTATTTTTTTAATCTCGATAAATTTCTTGACCGGCTGGGAGGAGGGTTTATCTAGCTGCTGCTATCAGAATATCAAGGCAGTCACTTCCACGGAATTACCGCAGTTCCTTCAAATTAATTGAAAATTCCTTTTACTTCTCAAAAAAGTTTTTATTTTCTTTTTTTCTAAAACACAATACTAGTTTCCCAAAAAAATCCCTCCGCTGGGAACTTCCCATTAGACGGGTACTTGGACTTGTGAGGGTTTTGAACACCAGAAACATTTCTTATCTTCTGAAGCAGGTCTATTACGAAATGACTTACTCAGCACTGATGAGGGTGAATCGTCTAGCCAATCATTATCATGAAAAGCATCTACTGGCAAAGGTTGAACATTTCATTCCGATTTTCATGTGATTTCCAACATGGCTTCATTCTTCTCATTGCTTATTTGATCACATAAAATTCAAATGATAAAAGCTTAAAAGTACCTGATAGTAAAGAGTGTCAGGTGTCTTCTCATCGGGAGTGAAACGGAACAGCGCGGCGACCTTGTCGGTCTCGCATTTTAGGTGAAGAGTTTTCCGGAACTCAGCGAAAGTGGAAAACTGCGATTCGTCCACGTTTTCTGAAATAACATGTGAATCTCGTAGGCAATTCTTTCATTCGGAAAACCTGATTCTCTACAGATGTAATGAAAAGTTTCGAAATTGTAGACTTCACAAACATCGTCGACTCGCGACTGTCTATGAAGCGGCTGTCTCCTTACAAATACATCTTTTCATCTACCCCATCTATCTTTCATATCTTCTGAGCCTTTAAAAAGACGAACTCCTTGAGTGGTGAAATTCATAACCACTGAGATTGGTTACGAAAATTTGGTCCTTCTTCGAAATACATGGAACATTTAAAATTGGGCGCTCATTGTTAATTACAGATCTATGATAATTCCATGTCTCAAGGCAATCAAAAAATGTGGAGCAAAATCGTTGCCAAGATTACGTGGGAGTAGCCACACACTCGTCACATTCTCGTCAGAATTGCGAAGGGGTTCGAGAGCTCGTTCAGTCTTCACAAGTGTTTGAGAACCCAGACTATCGTTCACTTATGATACTGCCTTCTTCAGTTTCCACAAATCAATTCACCGGTTGACATACATAGAACGCGCTTGAAACTACAGAAGAATTATTGAATAGGGTGAAGAATTCCTCTCATACCAATAAAGGCATATCACTGCATAAATTATTTAACAATTATTTATATTTTTATTAATTATATATTTATTTATAAAACACTCTTCTGCCAACCAACCAGCTTTTTCTGATCCAGAATATTACAATATGCGATGAGGATTGTTAGAATTTCATGAAGAGGATAATTTTTTGCAGGTTTCCAACTTCGTTATATTCGGCCTTCAAAACAACTTGGAATTTGGCCTGTGCAAGGTCAAAGAACACCAAGGTGGCGTTCTTCCTGCTGAGACTGCAGTTAGTGATGATAAGGACGATAGAAGGTTTTTCTCTCGATAGAGCTATCAGTAGCCATTATATGATAACGCGGAACACTTACTCGAAAAGTGGGGTCATCTTATCAAGAGTTGCTCTTTGCTCCCTCCCACTTCCCCCTCATTCCATCGAGGTAAAATAAAAAGTATTGGAAAAATAGATCAGGTACGAATATTCAAACATATGTGAGAATTCCAAGGGCTGTGCAAGGAAACTGTATGATTCCATTCTAACAACGAAACGTTGGCTTGAGAGGCATCCTTCATATCAAAAGTGTAAGGAGCGAAAAAATATGTTCGTCTCGATAAACCTTTCGTGAACCTAAGGAAAGTGCCACTCGTTCAATTTCGGCCACAGAAGGTTGCCAGCAGGAGTGCTTGCAAGGTTTCTTGAGCTGCCGTCATTAGGAAATCTTTTTCGCCTATTCCCCTATAGAAAAAGCATTCAGCCCTTCAATTGCACTATGTAATTTATCGCGCTCAAATGATTTGCCTCTACTTTCTGGGCTTTGAGGTAGGATACAATTCTCCCTCCACGACTCATCACCCGATACATGGCCGTCTTACCACGTGCATGGTTCATGCACCTACATGGCTCTGCCCAGTTATCTGCCTTCACGAAGTATGACTTTCGAGGGCTTTTTTTCTCATGGAAGCTGAATTTTCATTTATGGGACTTTGTATGCTGCATCTAGCGATCACACATGACACGTTTTATGCACGAATAGAATACAATAATTTTCCGTGCACGATCCCTTCAAAACCTTGCGATCAACTGGCAAAAAATTTGAAAGCCGTTTGGAAGAAATTTATAGATATTTCACGGAATACGATTCAAGTCCACTCCTATTTGACTTATCACTCACCGTCATTCGACCAAAGGCACAGTCGTCCAGACACACGCGATGGATCGGATCCGGAGAAGACGGTGACTTGCTGAAACACATTGAGCTATGAGAATTTACTGGCAGTGTAACACCCCTCTCAAAGCTTCATAAGATCTTTCATATCTTGTCATAGGTCTCTAATCAGAACTAAACGCCAAACTCTCTCTTTTAGTGGAGAATTCTATCTTCAAAGCGCAAAAATAAACTCTCTCAATCCAATCTGGGGAATATCAAAACTCTCCGACAATTTGTTGAGTTCGTTGAGCTACTCTTAATATTAGAAAAGAAGAAAACCTCAAGAGCCCTCCCTAAAAGACAAGGGGTGGTAGGGGAATTTTGCATTTTTCCGCCTTGAATTCGAATATGGGAGAATTCTGATTCATAGTAAGTGCCATTAGCACCAGTTTTATAAATGAAGTTATTATACTTATAATAGAAACAAGTTGAATCAAACTAATCTCTTTATTATTATCTTGATTACGATGTTTAAACCGAAATTACCTAGGTAATAAATGTTAATGTTACTTAACCTAGTTAGTAAATGTTGGGCCCTCTAAGCATAAAGTTATAAATGAAACTAAATGGGATTGCTCTTGAGGTATAAACACAACTAGTTTTATGGTTAGGTAACTAGCCCACGTACTTGTTTTGCTTGTTATACTGTAATATCGCCAAAAATTACCTCCTTTTCCTCATTGCTCAGCTTCCCATAACCGCCGAACTGGTCATCAGAAATATATAATGGATTGAAGAAATCAGAAGTAGACTTGTCGGAACCGCCTTCGACTCTGGAATTTTTTCAAATCGATTTTTGTAGCAACTTGTTTTTTTTATGTTTCAGGGTGTTGTCAACTGCGTCATTCAACCACGTGGTCATCGTTGCACACGTGGGACAATGGCGCACTTAAAGTTCTTTGTCTCAGGCCAGTGATCACCCGACTGCTTCAAACTTGACACAGTGCCAACTATTTGTTGAGACAAATTCAAGGTAACTTACATAAATGTATAGGTGACACCGCGTTTCAAATAGAGATCAGCTAGCATGCCGTTCACATACCACACGTACTTAGACGGTCTTGCTCGAGTCATTGACTAAAATAGTGATATTTTGAATCAGGAAGAGAAACCATGCTCCATGAAGAAGCAGTACCTGATATCCCTTCTTTCCACCAGGGACACCGAGTTGAAATGTGAAATTTCGTCGATGGTCATTTCCCAACAATGACGTCACCGGCCATCCATCAACAGTTGTTGCGACGTCATCGAACTAAACATGTCAACGGTAGTGCAGAAAAAGAGGAACACATTCCAAGGGAAATTGTATTTCCTGTGTTTCAGTGAGATTGCGCTTCATATATGCGTTGCAGAGCTCGTTTACTATAGTTTGTGCGCCTACGAACAATTCAGCTTGGAAATAATTAGATAGTTTTTACCATTTACTTCACCTATCCAAGCTTCCATGCTAGAATTCCTTTGTACTGTTTTTATGATCCCGAACTTGAACTCCCATAGATTACTTGTACGCTTATTAGTTCGTAGTGTACCCAACAAGCAGGAGAAACAAAAGAAAAAGCGATTCGATAGATAAGAATAAATTAAGATTTAGCCGTAGGATAATGTTAGAATCAAAGTCGTTGCGTCCATGCATGAGTGGAAACGCAATTATCGCCGATGTCGGCATTTTTTTCATCGTCCCATCTCTGTGTAGACAAGATGATATCAGAGCCGACCTTCGACGTTTTTTTCTTCGGCTCATCGAGTTGTCATTTATCATCGTTTAATTGAAATGTCGTGCGGGTGAGTAGCGTAGATCACACAGTCAATCAATAACACATTCAAGATACTCACTCGTTTTTGCGGTGGCACGTAGGGTGGAATTCGTGATGAAACGTTTGAAATGGCTACATGACCGAAATCGACACGGAATTTGTAACAGTAGATGGCTAGCCAGTCCACGTGTTGAATATCATAATCAGCCGGTAAATCTATGATAAGATCCTGACCGCCACGATATCGCTCGTTCATTGCTGTGATCCTGAAAATGTGTTATTTAAATAATATTTAAAAAATAAAGTGGATCTGTGCCCTCCTTATAGTTCTTCGAAATCAAACTTACATTATGCTGGCAATAAGAAATACATTGCAGAAGCGGTAGGCGCTCTTTCTTTTGAAAGCAATTTTAATACCCGCTATATTGAGAAGCATTTTGAATACCCGGAACAGCTGGCACCCGTGAAATAAAGTTACTCCTTTCGAACGAAGCTCATAAAAATGAGTAGTGCAGGGAGTATTGTCTCCAGGTGGAGGAGTGTGGAATGAAAATAGTAGTAGGGAGGATTCCTCGAGGAGATCACATGCTATTTCTGCACGACGGAAAGAGGAACTGCATGGTGTCCCTGGTGGTAGGAGTCTGCAGTCAGAGATCGCAATGGTGCCACCTACGGCAGTTGAGGTGGTTCTGCTGCTATCAAACGAGAAGGATAGCGTGCTGGCCATCACGTGCCCTTCACATGTGAGCGGACTGAACGATCGCCCGAACCGATTGACACCGTGAGTTTCAGTTTTCGCATTTCTTCATTACTACTTTATTAGCGATTGTCCGCTATACCAAGGGCTATTAAGGTATGTACATTCACGAAATATTCATTAGAGTGCTTACAGGATCGTTATGAAAGGGTTGTCCGACTTCGATGCAGTGCTAATATGAAGCAGAGATGGCCTATGGAAGGTAAATGAGGTTTCTGCTCATGTCTGGGCAGGGCTTAGAACTTCCTTTTCAATAACTTACTTTTCAAGGTCGGAGGAGTGCATTTGAAATAACTCGATCAAAGACAACTGTAGAGTGCCTCAAGCTTATTAATAAGTTGTGTAAGGAAGGGTGGAAGGTTCCCTGAGAGTTCAAGTGAACTCGACTTCTGGTGATCTTTTTAATGACAGAAGTATTGGAGGAAGTCCTTTTGTAGTGATTGATTTGCCAATTTCATCGGGTTCATTGCGTGAAAATAGGCCTAACAAAAAAGGTGGACTGAAGGTCTCCATGGGTTGAGCAGTTGCCATTACTTCGAATTTTCATTAAACTAGTGAGTTAATCCACGAATCGGACAATATAAAGAGGGTCTTATCCCATGGTGAAGCGTAAAGTAGCATGGTGCATCCGGAGAGCTTGATAACAACGGTACCGAGCTCCGGTTGAGGCTAGGCCTTAGTAAGGCTTATTACCGCTAACATTGGGCAACATCTATGTTCACACATGCAGGTTCCATGGAATACTTGCTTTTCATTCACCTACGTTCTTCTCGACGGGATTTCTTTTAATATATTACGTATATTTTTTATAAAGTTATTGAAAAAGTTAAAAAGTCGAGTCCATACATGTATTATATTTACTAATGGACTAGTAATTCCTGTAAGTATTTCACATCCATGTACTATCTCACATAGCCGAGAGACAATTGCACAGGTGCTGGATAGTCGAGGTATTTGTTCTACAAGACCTCGGGGTACGAAGGATTTGACTTTGAACGAGCAAGGTGTGCTGTAGATCCGTGGGAAGACTGTCAAAACCATGCTTAGCACAGTGGGTGTGGACGAGAGTTCAAAGGAGCTTTCTATATTTCAAGTACAGTTTGAAGGTAGCTTGGCACTGCCTTTACCTTCACTATATTTGATTTGGGGGTCATCACCCAACTCCTCTAAGAACTAGAGCGGATCTATTGTTCGAAATCCGTCCAGAACATTGAGACTTTGGCTGCGAAGAATTAGTTATTCGGGTTCGGGGTATTCCATACGCTCTGCGCAGCAACACGAACAATCACGACAGTTCGGTGATGATCGACATACGCTTTAGCCGCTCCGCGTTATCCACGGAGCGCCGCCGCTACCCATACAATCTTTACCACGTGGCGCGCCAATATAGCGCAGGTAGCTCTATCGCCACGGATAACTAATGATGAGACATTTATAAGTGACAGGTCATGGTACCTCTGAAGTCAAGTTCCAGAAGGACTGATCAGTAGATTCCGAGTGTTTCTGGTCTCCTGTTTGGCTCGCTCAGGTGAATCTAGCGCAACCGAGTGGAACACGCCACTAAGCTTGGAGTTGATAGCGATGGATGACTATTCCGTATTTCTGTGGTCTAAATTCCTCTGAAAAAGACACTCAACTTTTTTTAGCGAATCACAGTAATCGAGAATTTTCTATAAAACCCGGCTCAATTCTCGAGGAATGGGCATAAAGGGGGAAATAGTGCCGGTGCGTAGCTTTTTGGCGTATTGCGTCTAACATAGAGGCCTATTTCTATATATTCAATGTGTCAATCTCGTGTAAAATTTTCCGATTATCTATCGCTCGAAACAGTTAACTAGGATTTCTCCTCGTGGTTGTTAGCAGCTAAGAAAGATCGTCAAGTATGGTCAAGCTAGAAAAGGTGAAGGTTTCCATGAAGGGTAATGGGTTTGTCTGAGGTTCTTTAACTTGTAAACGAATGCTAGATTTAACAGAAATTCTCACTCAATATTTAAAGAGACTTCGTATCAATCTTGCACCAGATATAGCGGCCTTTACCTATAAAAGTGCCTTGGATACAGGTTTTTCGAGTGTTTAAGACATATAAGTCCTGGTGTTATCAAGTTTTAAAGTGAAATTTCAGAAGGACATTAAAAGGCCTTAACTTTTTTCAACAGAAAAAAACAACCCAGCAGGCATGATTTATGAGCCGCTTCGTTTTCCTGCTCAGGTACTCGACGGATTTTCGTGCGCGGTGGAAGTTTTTTCTTGAAACGCCTACGATGAATGTTCTCTTTCTTAGAGCAGCTCCATTAGAGCGCTCTCTTTACATCTTGAAAATAGTGGCGATTTGTACCAAAAACCATTGCACTTGATTACGACAACTTGTAACGTAATATAGTTACAGTTTTCACGAGGGTTGGGATCTGCGCAAAACACGTCGTCCAGCGAGGTTTCAGTGAGACCGCATTCCCACTAGTCGCTCGAACAATGCATCGTGGCGTGCTGAGAGATGCATACACATAGCGAAGAAGCACTCAGCGTGTGAACCAACAACTTCTATTTATTTTGATGATATACTTATCCATGGCTCCTCAGCCATTCAACACCAAGTCCAACGGATTGCACCGGGTAGTCGACATCACACTGCGACGCCGAAGCATAACTTTTGCTAGAATCATACGATTTACAACATATCATTACTTTTTTGACGGACATGTTGGCTGTTTTGCGTAATTCCGCTGGTCTGAACGGCCCGCAGTTCGGCCGTTGCAAAGAAGTTCAAAGATGCGTGGGTTTATGAGCAAGCCGCTGGGCCCAGACATATTCGAACGCGATTTAATTCTGTGACCAGAGTCTTGAGTGTGCCACCGAGTCCCAGATCTACACGAGACACCCGCCTAATCCCTATGCTGTAGGACAGCTTCACAGTCAACTCCCGATGATCACTTCGTACTTCCTCCTCTACGCTAACCTTAAAAGGCAATAGTCCAGTGTCAGAGGGCCGAAAACGGTCTTCCTCATGAGACAAATCCATGAACAATCAGTCACATCTTACCAGTCTCTATAAACGCTTTTGATCTGATCCAAAAGTTGGTGAGTGGGTGTGGTTTGACACAAAACTTCGGGATCAGTATTGTATACAAATTTCCCCTCACTCCCCTCTCCCCCACCCCCATCCCAATAGCCATAGTTTTATTACACGATCCCTTCCGAACTTCTTCATACGAGTACCTGTTAGCTAGCAAACATAATCCTACCTTAACCTTGTCTCCATTCCTGGAGAACTTTCCCGTAGAGGGGTGGAGATGAACGAAATAATAAAAATATCCGCTCAATTAGTAAGGTTTCCGGACTCAAGCTCAACTAAGAAGATGCAATTGCAAGTATCTCAGTCAACGATATGCTCGTTCGACATTTACCTGCAGTGAATTGTGCTGGGATGTACCGACCGCGAGCAGCTCAAATCGGAATGTCCTCACAAAAATTTAGGAGCCCTGTGCGCCATCAAAGGCCCAGTAATATGTTGGCTCTGAGTCTTGCCAAGCAAGCCGTTCTAAAGTGCTCACCAAAAGCTCAATGCCTGAATAAGAGAAGTAATCCAGAGTCTCACAGAGTATGATTGATAACAGAAATAATTCAAAGTCGAACGGCGGCCGGAAACTGTTCTTAACAATAGTGAGCACCTTTGTACCAGCAATACTCGAATATCACTTTATCGAACGGAAGCGCTGATTTATGGGCTTTTTAATTAGATATATGTAGCTCTAGATATAGCAGTAAGTGGTGTCTACCAATCAAAGTAGTGTTTTGCTCCTCTTTGGCGTGTCAAATGAAGAGGTGAGAATTCATCTGACCGAAGAGCCAACCAAAAGTGAAGGTCTGCTTGGGTCAAGCTGCTACTAGCACTAAAAACCAGCTTCTTAAGTTTCAAACCGAGAAACGAAGACGTTGTTGTTTTGAGACTTGTGTTTAGGGCATTAGCTCTGTGACAATACTAGTTATCATTCATTGTCTTTGTTATTTACTACTTTTTCACGACAAGTGGTTGTCGGTCGATCCTGAGCGTAGCCTTTACTCGAATTCGTTGTAACAATAGCTGTTTACACAAAATCCCTCTACTGATAACAACATCCATCAAACCACCGATTCTTTGCGCTCTGTGTATACCAGCCTAGGTCAGTATGTAGGTGAGGGACGGAAATCCCCTACCTTTTCGAAGTGAAGGGGAACACTTACAGTTCTGGTGTGTCGCGGCCGCGAATTGGAACTTTCACTCCAGCGTCATGTGCAACATTTGGTCCACGACCGACAAAGAAGTATCCATCTAAAATGGTTACATATATGTTTTTTGAAGCACAATTACTGCATAGGATGTTTTCAGTCGCAAAACGCTACCAGGGGCTTTGTCGGCGTCGAATGTAAAGCCAAAGATTTTGATCGTGCGCTTGTCCATGATGAGAATAGGTCCCGAGCCAACAGAGTATCTGAAACAAATCACAGTCCTGTGAATCGCACTTGAAATTTTGAGGTCGAACTTCAAAAGTTTTCTTTTATCTTACCGGCTGCCCTTCAGCTCACTAGATAAAAACTGTGGTCGCGGAACAATGAGGTTCTCAGGAATGGCAATCGAGCCGAAGTTGTGCTGAAATGTTTTGAAATGACCCTCCTGCTAGACAACTGAGAGTCTCTTTCAGGCGACCAACCTCATATTTGTAGCAAAACAAAGAGAAGCTCTTGAAATTGGTGATTTTATGCCGTCCAGGCAACGTCAGTACTACTTGATCCGCGTTGTCGTACTTCCCGAGAGAAGTGATTCTGTAACATTCCTTATACTTTGACGCCAATAGCCAATATGTCCAGAATAACTCAAACACGAGAATGCTGAGTTGTGGGCAAAACTTTATGTAAGCGGTCCATCACGTTGTACGTGTGAATGCTGATAAGCTATGGTAACTTTACCATCGAAGCTGAGTTGGGGTGAAATGGTGCCCCGGTGGTGTAACTGGTAGCACAATTGCCCGGAAAGCAAGAGATCCGGGTACGAATCCCGGCTGGGCGAAAGTTTTGCCCACAACTCAGCATTCTTGTGATAACTTTCGCAACGCGAACTGCGGCGTAAAACAGCAGTTATCCAATGAAAACTATCCAGGATGACTTACCCATATTCAAATGACGGGATTTTCACACCATCCTGGGTCGGGCTCTCCTTACGATCCATCCAGAAGTATAAATCTGGAATAAGGCACGTTTTTATCACCATGTATCGTGCTGGGCCATCGCTCTGTTACTTCTGCGACCTCGATGACCGCTATGCGTTCAGTTTCTTTTTTCGATTTATGCGATTGGGACGAGGGTTAATTGTTGCCACCTCAAAGGTCGCCCTCACTAAATCACTTCCCGTCTATGCACTTCTACCTTTTGCAACCTTCACCTCGACGACACGACAGTCATATTAAACGAGAATAATCGTTCATAGTCCTTGGCAAATCATGTAGCGAATGGGCGACGGCAGTTACAGATCGTAAATTACCATAGGTTAATGCTATCCCGTGACGATAAAATCGGGATCGAGAGCGCGCTATGAGAAATCGTTCTCAAATGTCTCAAAGTCTTTTCTCAGGAAAAGGTTAACGATGATCAGAAAGTCGATAAAGCCAAGGGAAAAGGTTTCATTGAAAACATCAGCAGCATTCTTGAAATCCGCGCCACTTGAAAAACCACTGAAGAAATGTCACGCTGTCACCGCAAGGGGTTCAAAAGTAGAATTTAAATTATCTAGATGTGATAATGTCATGTAGTCTTACGGTGTTTCGTATGTTGTCAGTACGGGGTTCGCAAATTACATCCAAAGCATCTCAGAAAGTCGAAAAATTCTAGCATCCAGTGTTTTTTCTGTTGAAATTTTGCAGTCTCTATTTTTGCCGAGCTTTCATTCTCACAAAAAAATTGAACCATCCCATTTTGTTCAGCTTTTTTTTTTGATCATATAATGTTCAAAAAGGATGCAGGAATGAGGCTGCTGATGTATGTACTCATTAAATAACAATTTTTATTTTCATTTTTTTTCATTTCCCATAAAACCCTATAGCCTTTTCTAGACTTTTTTTAGAGCCTCCAGTGATCTCTGAAATCTTCTAGTCCAGTCCTCTACTCGCTGACCGATCACTCTAGAAGTTCTGTGGCCCGACTATGACGTGCCCAAGTGAAAGTGGATGACAAGACCGTAACGTTGTCGAATTGGACGAAAATCGGAAAACGAGACGCTCATATTATTCCAACCCTTTGTTAAGTTACCACTCTGTGGCTACTTCTAGACTATTGCTCCTTACTCGACGAGCTCAAGGGGCGATTTGCGGTTTTTGCGGAAGTGCGTATTGACAAATCGGCGGGGCTTTGTTACCGTTGCATTGTTCGGCATCGATGAGGAGGTGAGGCAAAAGTCGGTCGTTCTAGACGTTCTTCTAACACTCAGAACAATACAAGTCAAGTGGGTTAGTGTGGTACGGCTCTTTGTCTATACCTCCACCTGACTCCCGCACTGACAATTGTATGTAAACGCGACCTCGAATCAAAGAGATATGCCGATAGTCACCTGCCTGGCAATTTGATACATAAAAAAGGCACTCTCAATACTCGTACAACTCTCTTCCCTTTGTACATGCTGGATTTATTTTGAGAGCTTTGGGTAGTGAACTTGAACCCCGTCATTTTCTATGCGCCATTTTCATTAATTGTATCGACTTTTATAATGGAATCATTTCCCGGTTACTAGCATGAAATATTGTTCAAAAATCTTGTACAAAAAAAAACTAGAATTTATCACTAAAGCAGCGCTAAGTGGTACAATTCAAGGGGCTTGAAAAGTTTCCAAAGCAGGATAGAACCTGCGTATAAACTTGCAGCTGTCACGCTAAAATTGATAAGGCTGAACACTCGAATGTTCCTCACTTCACAGTAACTACTACTTGAATTCGGTCGCTGCCATACTTCCAATACTGTCGAACCGACCGAAGACCAAAATTCCTAGTGCGGTTGCAATCAGTAAGAAACTCAAAAACTACCCTTTCTAAAAAAATCTCTAAGATTTTAAATTGAAATTTTCCCGAATTTTTTGAGATCAGTGCGGCGCCAGACTCTTGATTATTCCAAAAGCGCGACTGCTAGAAGTTCTCAAATTCCTAGTCAACATGAATGATCTTACATGATCCACATTCGTTAGTTAGTAGGTTAATCGCCTCGTCTCTTTTTTAGAAATAGGGTTGCTACTTTTAGCCTTTCTGTATTGCTTCTACAGATATTCAGTTTGGCAGCAAGTAATCTTCGAATCTAGTAATCTTCAAAGATCACGCACCTGCGGCCGGGTTCCCATCTTTATAGGGTAAAAAGTGCATGTGAGGGATTTTGCAGATGATCGTAGGACATTGCGACGCAAGGTAAAACGCTTCCTTATACGTCGGCCATCTGCTAAATTTGGCAGCTCGCGCCAATGAAGCGTGCCATAAGTCCCGATCATACGTTTATAATTCTAATTAATCCTTCGTGCGGAGATCTTAAATTGTATGAGCACGAGCCTGTATGCAGCGTCAGTTCACTGAATTTATCACGTGTGCCGACAACAGCTATAGAGCAAACTCGGTTTTTTTTGTCAACTATTTTTCCGCAAAAGATTCTGTTACTCGCGCGTGCATCTAACCTCCTCCCTATTAGCGAATTGAGCAAGCGGGTAAACGTCAGAGCTAAAAACTACCTTAAAATTATTTCAAAAAAAAAAACGACTGCTATATCCAATTGAAGCTTTCACTTGAAAATTTGATTCAGAGCATTTAAATTAAAGCAAATGTTAATTATCACACACTATTGAGATGTGGATTAATGAACAAAAATCTTAGAAATAACCGCATTCTTTGGCTAAAAGTTCGAATTTTTTTTTTTTTTTTTTTTTTTTTTTTTTTTTTTTTTTTTTTTTTTTTTTTCTTTTTTCATGGAGGCTGCGACTTCTGCTTTTCTTCTCTGTGTGCGCCATAACACGATTTCCGTGCCATATTTAGAGAATCAAAAATTATGTAAACAAAAGTGTACCTGATATCCCGGCCGTGAGCAAAATTATCGTCCTTAATAGCATCTTCCTAAATTTCTTGTGTTATACACTTTCAAGTTCACTTGCTAACGTTTACTCGGATAACGATAAAACCAACAATAAACCAAAAAGCTAGGGTCAAAGCCTACAACGGATCAAAATTAGAAAAAAATATGGAAGTTTTTGTGAGAAGGTTTCTGGTAGTTATGTGCGACAGAATAGAAATCCATAAAAGTAGTGTAGAAGAAATGCAAATTGAAGGAATTAACGTAAGTGTTAAAAGAGTCTCGAAATAGTGTGAAGGGACCAATGGGCCTAGTGCATCCCGAGGGAGAATTAAAAACCTCTTGGAAAATGCCTATCCAGGTGCGGCACAAGGGCCAACACATTTGGTAGTCAAAACCATGAAAGTCCAAGAGATCTTCTAGGAGGTCTTGACCCTTCTCTCAAGCTCAGAGGTGCTGGATTAATGGAAGTTTATTCAGAGCTGTGTTACAAAAGTGTGAAGTTAATCACCAGGTCATAAGATACACTCAGTTTTGATTACAAGAAAATTTTACTGACTAGTCAGTCTATAACTGAACTTTTGCAAATTGTAGAACTGAGGTTTCCAGTGAAGTGCTTTCTTAGGAAATATTACTGTGAATAACTGAATTTAATGTGGTTCAATTCAGGTACGGGTACATTCCCCTTCTGTATTCGAGGCAGGCCCAAGTTCTGAAGCTGAAAAGGTCCTATGCGCAAGCACAAACAAATTAAAGAATAGTCTGAAGCAGTGCTTGATTGAGCACATTGTTTGTGGCGTAACACGATGACGACGCAACCGAGTGCGTAGCAGCGCTACGGCGGGGGGCGTCATGGTCATCGTCGTGATGGTCTTCGTGGCCCAGCGCCCCCAGAGTCCACTTCAGAAGAATAATTGGCACTGCTTAGACGTATTAACCATGGCTGACGAACATATGCTTTGCGTTCTGCAGCTCATATATCATGCTTGAGAAATTGTCACTAAGATCTGACACTTAATCGCAGCGGGTGACTGTAATCGTGTATGACCTTGATGGGTTGCTCGAAAATCAACGGCATTCAATCCTCAACTAGTGAATCACTGAACAAAACGATTCAGAAGTCTTTACAGAGCTCAAAGGCAACTATATCATTCTGAGGGCATAGTACCCAATTTGAGATGAAGGAAACAAAATAGCTGATTGTCAGGTTGGGTTAACTTTGAATCGTTTCGTTAATTTATCTACTTTCTGGTTAGTCCCACCAAGAAAATCCAAGGGAGCGATGAACCATTCATGGTACAACTACCTGATAAGCTCAACTTCTAGACAATGAGGACAATCTTAGAAAAAGATTCTAAGCTTGTCCGACCCATATGACTCCAATAACAGCAACAGTTCGAAAGTTCAGGTTGAGGAATCGTAAACCGCTTTGACTATCACTGAAACTGACAAAAAAGGAAGAATAGCTAGGTCTCGCAGAGGCGTTCAGAACCATAGCAAAGATAGATCTGAACAAACTTTCCGGTAGAAAATATAGCCTGCCAATTTCAGCCAAGAGCACGATGTAACTCCTAATCGCCGCGTGTGGCTGTAATCGGTGCTTGACCTTGATGAGTATAAAAACCAACTACCGTCTTATTGGGTTAAAATGTAGTAAAGTGTCCGTAGAACGCAAAGTCAATCGCTTTCTTCTTTAGTTTAGCGTCCAAAAAATGATTTTTATGAAATTGAAAAAAAAAACAAAGAGCCGGGTAATAAATGATGGATTACATTTCACACAAAATTAGCGAAGTGCTCGAGCTACTTCACTGGAAAGTCAAAAGAATGGGGCAATGAACTAGCGCTTTCACCTCAAGGAAAACAGCGAATGCTTCAGCAAGAGAAGAATTTGAAACTGCGGGTGGTAGCAATGTAGGCCTTCAGTGGTCATGAAGCCTATGACGTCGACAAAAAATGTTACGAATTGAAATTTCGGAAGGAAGTCCTCACGGCTTGGGATTGCACTATCAAGCGGCGAAGAAACGGATCTCTGACAAAACCAGTTTCCTACACTTGACTACAGCCGGTTGGAGTAATTGGTCCGTGATTCGTTGACCAGGAAAACATATTCGTCTTGAAGCTTTCTTGCGCTGAAAAAATTCCATAACTCGAAATCATAGTCTTCAGGAACAGGCCACTTTTTTTAGCAGACACTTATTCTGAGCAAATCCCAGCCTAAAAATGAAGATCCAAGGTAAAAAGGAAGTGAATCTCGGTTCAAGTTTAAAAAAAG